TGAGCTATGGAGTCAGCCAGAGACCCACTCTTGACCCACTGCAAATTTCTAGCTGTGTGACTCTGGGTAGGTCACTTGCCCTCTCTGAGCCTGAGTTTCCTCATCTCAAAGAGGGGACTACATCTACCTTAGAGGGAAACCAAAGTGTAGTAGATGCTAGACAGAGGAAGAGGGAAGGATTCTCTCTTACTATTGCATTTGGAAGGATCCAGAAAATGATATAACAATCAGGAAAAACTTTGGAACAAGACCCTGTTTCACTGGAAACTAAAAAGACCTGGAAAGGCAGCTTAAGTTTTTGCGATAAGGTCATCTTGTGGGTGAAAGCCTTGGGGGAGGAAGGGAGCATAAGTCTATAACAAGGAGGGTAAGGCCCATCACACACAGGAGGTAATGTTGAGTGCAACTGCAGCCCAAGGGGGCTAAGCTAGCTAGGAATTACTGTCACTGTGGAATACCTGTTCTGCAGGGTGGGGACAAATTCCCATGCTGAGCATGCTGGGACAGGTGTGGAAGCTGGAACACACCCTCAGAGCCCCCAGAAGCCCTTCCAGACGGGCACTGGGACATTCAGAACCAGTCCTCCCAACATCCCAAGTTCCCAGCTCAGTCTTCAACAGAGTGTTGATCAACCTGAAGACACACGGTTTCCTGGACTGATCAGAAAGCTGATAAAACCAGGGCAGCAGGTCCAACCAAATCATGGGAGTTACACCAAGCTTGAAGAGGGCCTCTCGGAGCACATGGCTCATGATTGGAAGATGCATCCTGGGCCAAAGGTCCAGTAATGGAGGGTGAAGCAACACTCTTCACAGGCTGCTTGATATCGAGGACTTTCCCAGCCCAGAAACGTACACCTTGTCCAAGGTCAGACAGAGTTAGAATTTTATTGAGCCAATGGTTGCTCCTCCTGTCACCATGTTCCTAGATAACAATCTATGTAAATGAGAAGCTGGTGGAATTAAATTTAGATTCCCAGAGCACGCTGCCTTGCCCCAGCCTCACAGCTGGAGGAGCTGCGGGCAAACTCCCTGGGAGTGGCCTCCTGCCCTCCTCTGTGCTCCCTCCTGCCTGCTCCTCTGTTGTTTGGTGGATGGGCCTGCCTGCCTGCCCCTCTGTTGCTTGGTAGATGGGCCTGCTTGACTCTCCCTCGGAGTATCAGCGCCATGGGAATAGCACTGAACACAAGCAGGGATGGAATGCTTCCTAGCCCCTGGAAGGACCACAGGTGTTCCCCCAGCCCTCCCCCAGGGCCCGTGAGAACCGTATGAGATACCACATGTGGAAGCATTTTGTGCATGGTTAGAGGGCTATGGGATGGCTCCTTGCTGTCACCGGGGTGAGCTACAGTGAGAGGCATTTGCTCCTGATGGGATCTCATTGTCTCTAACAAGAGTATTGTTTATACCAGGAAGCCTCCTCCCAGCATCTTTTAGTGCTAACAACGCCCTGGCTCAGGCCCGGAACAGGACATCAAGGCCTTTCCTTGGAGTCCGAGATCCTCCTTGGCTAACTCCTCTCTCCTTGCCCTACCTTTCTCATGCCCCTGCCCCGTGGAATCTCTGTTCCAATATTCTAGGATTCAGGCACGTGATTCCCTCCATCTGTCCCCTGGTTCTCCATAATTGAAAAGGTCAAGGCTTCTGAAGAGAAAAAGCAGAGTCATGTTTTTTGGGGCAATCCCAATTACTGCCCAGAAGGAGAAGGATGGGCAAGATGACCTCTGGTCCACCTTGCCCTGTGTTTTTATCCAGAGCCAGCTTGGATTTCCTAAGCACATCATATGCGCATGCATGATCCCAGGGAGAATCCCATCCACACCCTGGACTAGGTCTGTGGTGTCAGAAAACTTGGGTTCATTTCACAATTCTTGGTCCTTGGGCCCTTGGCCTCTCCATGACTGGATCATTCCTTGGCATCTGACCTTAATTTTCCCCAATATAAAATAGAGAGTGAAACTCCTTTTTTCTCAGGCTCCATCACATGAACTCTTAGGCCAGCAAAGGGATGAAAGGCTGCCATACACATATTCCCACATATCATTCAGTCCCTCCCTCAACGTCCTGCCAGATAGTTAGCCAACCTCTGCTTGAAATGTGCCAACTCCTCATGCCTCTTGTGTCTCAAGATCAATAAAAATTGCTTCTTACCCTGAGCCAAATGTGCTGCAGTTCCCACCTGTTCATCTGGGTCATCAGCTGGGGTCAACCCCTCTTTGCCAAGGAAACTCTTCAAATCTTTGCAGTTAACTGTCACATCTCCCCCCCAAAGACGTCCAGGGCCTTCCAGCGTCCCCCTGTGGCCAGGTTTCTGATTGTCCACCCCCACTGTCCTGGCCACTGTCGTCTGAATGGACTCCTCTTTAGTAATGTCCTCAGAGTGGTCAGACTACAGAAGAGCCGAAGTAGACTTGGCACACTACTCTCTTCCTGGTCCCCACACCTGTCCCCACTGGCCACCAACTGCTGTTGGCTCATGCGCTGTCACCATCGGCAGCTGAATACTCTAAACCAAGTTTATACCCACTGCTGTTTTCTCTCTCCCCGTCCCTGTCCCGTGCTCTTGGATTTTTTTTTTTTTTTTAACTTCAAGTGTGGCATGGCTTCTGTCTATGCCCTCTCTCCTTGCCTTCGGGCAGCCCCTCTGCCCACCTCTCCTTTCCCAGCCCATTCCCCCACAGGTCCGCTGCCAAGGTGAGATGGGGAGAAGCCTCTCAGAGAGAAGGTAGGGGTCTGCGTGGGAACACACTGTCTTATCAATATGGACTGCAATCATATCTGAATGAATCCCATATCCAACTGTCATCTGTACTCCTTCAGGGAAGGAGAAAGTAGGTCACATCTTTTATGCAACTCCTTTACACAGACTCAGAAATATCACATAGGGTAAGGTGGTAGCTTAACTTGCTCCATTCTTGAATGTCTGCATCTATGCTTCCCCCAGAGGCATGGATTCCAGAAAACCCGGCCCAGGACCCCCACTGGGTGAATGGGCTCAGTCTCTTATCTTCTGAGCTCCTGTCTCCTGGGAGGCAGACCTCTCTCACTCACACACATTCAGTCTCTCTTATCTTTGAGTCTATGGAAGACTAGCCCCCTGTCTGAAGGGCCCTTCCCTGAGGCCCTGCCCTCACCTACTTCTACTGTTTTCCCCAGGCCCGTTCCACTTTCTAGCCCTCTAGGAGGGCCAACCTTTGGGGTAAAGCTTCCCTTCCCCAGAATTGGCATCTACTGCAGGCCCTACAGCTCCTGCCATGGAGGGTCTGCCTGTGTCCACAGGACAGGCCTTGCGACCACCTTCAGGCTAAAAGGTCCACAGAGACTCATTGCTCTGATTTCTCCTCCCTCTGAACTTTCCCCTCTGCCATAATCTATCATTTGGGTTGTGAGTACCTGAAGATTCAGAAACGCGTTCAGTCAGCACTGCATTCCCAGGGCCGAGGCCACCTCCTGGCACACGGCTGGAGCGGAATGAATGCGTGCTGAACCAATGTGTAACGACTTCGGAACGAGCGGCCACTTTCAGCACTAGTAAGATCATGTCTGCAAGGTCTTTTAAGATCATGCAATAAAAAATAATAAAAATAATATTTCCCAGATATGAATAATAGCAGAGGCCTGCAGAAATTTAAGAAGAAATCACTTATCTCTGACTGAACAGCAGTTTGAGATCACAGAAAATTTTATTGTAGAAACACCAGAAATGTCAAGCCCTTCAAGGTACAATCTTCAACCAGGAAATGATGCGGTCACGGCACTCCGCAGGGGACCCCTACTGAGCCCGTCCGATGCCCCCAAGAGAATCAGGGACTTGGAGGTTGCGTTAGGACTCAGCGAGGAAGCGAAGGTGACTCCAGATCTTAGAAGCAACACCACCCTCCCCCTCTCCAGGCCTGCTAGTGGGTTGATAGTTTCCCCTTCCTGTCCCCTCCAGCGCATCTCAAACATTATCTCAAACATCCTGTGTAAGGCCTGAAAGGAAGGGTCAAATTCTCACGAAGTGCTCAGTCACAGAGAACAGGAGGCAGAGGGACTTTGAAAGCCCGGGAAAGGGCACCATGCTTCCTTACACATAACAGGCAGCTTCAGGACTGGTCAGAATTGAACCCTCCCAAGACCCATGCTTGATCTTCCAATTCCTCCGGGCCTGGCACCTGGACACAGCAGCTCTGGGTGGCATGTGCCTAGCCTCCTGGACAATTCTCAGGAGGGCCATTATGAAGCAGAGCTCAGGAAGGGCCAGGCTGCCGACGAATGGAGCTGTCAGGAGAGGCAGGACAGAAGAGAACTCCATGGCTTCCCCTTGACTCCTCTATTCGGGGATAATTCGTCCTCCCAGGGGACAAGGATGCATGCCCTCTGAAATACGCCCACCTTGAGCTGTTAGCCCAGAGAATAATGCTTCTTAAGATGGAGATGTGGAATCAGGACCAGACATACTTCAAGGTGCCTGATGAGGACAGCAAATCCATACTCTCCATCAACATGAAAGTATGAGGCTAACAGACCAACAGACAGGAATGGGTCCCCAGTACAGAGGTTCCTCTTGTCAAGCTACTCGCCCAAACGCTTCATTCTGTGGGTCCCCTGAGGGAGAGATTATTGTTCACAGGGCAGCCCAGGTGCAGGAAAGGGAGCCTGGGGGTGAGAAACCTGGTGTCCTTGACATTAACTCTCCATTATCCGCTCTGTAGATACTCTGCAGGCTTTTTTTCTCCAGTGCTAGACTGGGCCCCTGGGTGTCCCCAGGGGCAGGGGCAGGGGCAGGGCCAGCCGAGTGGAGTCTGAGTGGAGAGAGGCTGTGATTCTGACCACCAGCCAGCGCCCTCCAAAGACAGATCTGCTGTTTGGGGTTATCCGCCTGCTTCACCAGCTAGCGTGGAACGTGTTAGCAAAGCTGCTGAGACCCATGAGGGAAAGGTAAGTGAGAGGGGTTCAGGAAGGGCGCGGAGGAGGGGAGTTCAGGAGAGCGCCCTCCGGCGGGGCTGTGTGAGCCTCCCTCTACTCCACGATTCGCTTGTGGGAGGTGTTGGTGGAGGTCTGGATGATCTGCACGCGGGACGAGCCGCCGCCGCCTCTGCCCCCGTACTTGCTGCTGCTCCGGCTGCTCCCTCCGTAGCTCCCGCCGCCGCCACCCGCGTAACCACCTCCACTGGCCCCTCGGGAGCCCCCGCCGTAGCTGCCGCCGCCCCCACGGGAGCCGCCGCCGCCGGAGCCCCCGTAGCCTCGGCCCGAGCCTCCGCCGTAACTTCCGCCGGAGCCTCCAGAGCCTCGGCCGCCGCCGCTGATGGTGGTCTGGCTGCTCTGCACAGCTGTGGGGAGAGGGCAGCCCGAGCTGGGGTCAGAAGGGCTGGCCAGGGGACCCGCCTGCACCTCCCCCCTGCACCCCTCTGCACCCGCCCTGGGGCAGCCTCCTGCACCCTTAGTCGCAGGCAGCGTCTGACTTGCAAAACCATACAGGATGAAAATTTTCCCGTTTTCCAAGTATTCTTCACAGGACAAAGCACTGGGTGTTTTACGGAACTAATGAATTGTTGAACACTACATCAAAAATCAATGATGTACTATATGTTGACTAATTGAACATAATAATAATTTTAAAAAAGACAAAGCATGTCAGGACCCGTTTTCATTAGCCAAATACCTTGACGAGCTCTAAGCTGCTACTGATTATAAGGTCTCATCAACATTAAGATACGTAAGCACTAAAATCGTAACAATTTATTTCAGCGAATTTCTCCAGGCTCCCCAGTCTGTGGGCTCACTGTGGTTTTTCATGGTGCAGGACTAGAAACAAAATCGCTGACTGCCGGTCCCTGCTGGCCTGCCTCCCCCCACCCCCGGCCCTCCCTCCAGCCGCTCCAAGCAGCCCCCAACCTGGACCCTGCTACTTACAGATGCTCACGTGGCTCTGCAGCTCCCCTGACATCCTGTAAAACCAAAGCACACACATCGGTCAGACCAGCAAAGCCCTGGGGAAGGCAGGTGACAGACGGCCTGGAGACATCCAGAGCAGAGACAGTCCCATAAAGTGAAAAACTGTCCCCAAGCTTTAGGGAAAGGTGGGTGCACAGGCCAGGAGGTCAGGGAGTGAGGGGCTAGAAGGGGTTTTAAACAGTTTCTGGAAGCCATTTAGCACTGGCTGCAGTGGCTTAGGTTGGGGTATAGGGACATTCTGCTCAGAGGCAGGGGAATGATGACAATGACACATCCTCTGCTTCTGATTTGAATGTTTCTGCTCAGCCCGGGGCTACCAGTCTTTCCAGAAAACAGGGATTGTCTTCCCTCCAAATAGTCGGTCCCACCACTCAGGGAGGCAACCTGCACGTAGGCCCCAGAAGTATGGTCCACCTGCTCTCCTCGCCCTCCAGCAGCTTGCGGTAGGTGGCGATCTCCACGTCCAGGGACAGCTTGGCCCCCAGCAGCGCCTGGTAGTCTCGCAGCAGTCGGGCAAGCTCCTCCTTGGACTGCTGCAGGGCCTCCTCCATGTCCTGCAGCTTCTGCCGTGCATCCTGAAGGGCCTGCTCTCCTCTCTCCTCTGCATCCGAAATGGCCATATGCATCTGCTCAATCTGCTCAGGAGAAAGTCGCAAAGAAGAACCGAATGGGGGGTGAGTTTCAGGAGCCCCATCTGGCAGGGCCCTGTGGGAGGCGGCATGTCTGGTCAGCCCACCCTGAGCATCCTTCTCACCTGCTTCTTGATGTTGTTGATCTCTGCCTGCAACCTCTGGATAGTGCGGTGGAGCTCAGCGATCTCCATCTTGCTGTTCTTCAGCTCGTCTCCGTGTCTTCCCGCTGAGATCTGGAGCTCCTGGTACTGAGGGTCAAAGGCAACATCGTGGTCAACCTGCTGCGCACCGCGAGGCCTTCCACGAGGGAGTGAGTCTACCTTCCCAGGCCCTACCCAAAGCTGCTCTCCAGGGACAGTTCCCAGGTACGCCCCACCCCCAGAGCTGTGATACCCGCCATACACACTCCCGTACTAAAGCTCCCTCGTTTGAGTCAGGACACCACACACACACATACACACACACAGTGTTGTTCAAGCCTCCCTCCTTCTCATCAGTCTCTGGGCCAGACCCACATCCCAGACAGACAAAGCTACTCCTGGATGCCCTTTTCCACCTACTTGTTCCCCCATCTAAGCCTTACTACAGGCCCTTACCCACACGGGGACCTCTTCCCTTTTGCCACCACACCCATATTCCTTCCTACCCTTTTCCAGGATGGTTTCCCTAGCAGCCATGACCTTATTTCCTCAGAGGCCATCAGCATGCCCCTTCTTGATTCCCATTCTCCTCTCTATGTCGTTTCTGTATCTACATGGCCCCATCAGTAGGCTCCCATGGGCAGGGCTCTGGAGGAAGCAAGGGGCAGGGGGTTGCTGGTTCAAGGGAAGCTCTGCATTCTGATGCTTTCCCTGTTGACCATCCACCTCCCCGGTCTGATGCTGAAATCCATGCCACTCAGAACCCCTGCCTGCAGGGCAGTGAGACAGAGGCCCGCCAAAATTGGAGTTGAGAAAGCAGATCGCCAAGTGTCAGGAGTTCAGAACGTAGGGACCGGCCTTTGACCCTTAACTACAGTCTTCACCCTCCAAAAAGGTCCGAGTCCATTGATATTAAAGAAGTAATCAAAGATGTGCCTGAAGACTTAGCCACAGAGATGTTTATCTGATAAAGGTAAATTCTTACCACCGAGCATCATGCTGCTATTAAAAATGGCGTAGAACATTTAATGTCACAGAACGGCATTCACAAGTAATAGGTGAAAGAGTAAAGTACAGAACTACAGCTTAAAAGATCTCATTATGAAAAAAGTAAGAATTAAAACATTATAGTGGTTTAGGGCATGGGTTTGTAGGCGGGACACCTAAATTTAAGTCCTGCCTGTGCCGCTTACCAGCCATAAGACCCTAGGCAAACTGGGTGAGTTCATACTCTACTATCTTCAAAATAGGGGTAATCAACTCCTTACCTCGCAGGGTTGTTGTAAGGAGTAAATGAAATTTTATATATATGTATAAAATGTATATGTGTGTGTATATATATATATATATATATATATATATGTGTATATATATATATATATATATATATATATATATAAAATAACTTCCAAAATAAGAGAAAGATGAGAGAAATTCTGAGGCTACGTCTGGTTTGGGGTACCAAGTCTGGGTGGAAGGACAGCAGTGCCCACCTTGGTCTGGTACAGCGCCTCGGCCTCATCCTTGCTCTTCTGTGCGATCAGCTCGTACTGGGTCCTCACCGCATCGATGATGCTGTCCAGGTCCAGGAAGCGGTTATTGTCCATAGACAAGATGACATTGGTGTCGCTGATGTGGGTTTGCATCTGGGACAGCTCCTGCAAGGCATAGACCACAGGCTGACTCCTTCCACTCTCCTCCTGGGGCCTCAGGTTCCCTCTACTGTCCCCTCAAGGCTCTTTGGGGAAACCAGAAGCCTGGGCCAGATGAGAGTCTTGGGGAAGGTTCTTTGAATAGTTGTTGTGCCCCAGGAGGTGTCTTAACTAAAGGTAAAGGCCGCCAGACCTAGCTTCTGGGGAGAAGAAAGGAGCGTGAATTCAGAGCTCCTGTAGGCACTACCTGCCCATCATGCCTCTCCTGTGTCCTCTCTCCCCGCCTCACTTGGCTTGGCTGCCATCTTGGGCCCTCTGACAGGCAGACTTGCTCCTTGAGAAATACACGAGCTCGCAGAGCCATAGAAAGGACTCTCTCCCTCACTTTTGAGCCTGGGCTCTACCACCAACTAGATGAGTGACTGAGCTGGTGATTGAGTCTCTCAGTGCCTCAGGTCTCTCATCAGCAGAATGGAGACCAAAACGTGGCAAAGCTCCTTGCACAGCCCCTGGCCCAAGGTAGACATGAGCAACAGTAGGGCCAGGGGTGGTAGAAGGATATTATCCATCACCACTGTAGGCTTCGTCCCTTTAGGATCCACACTGTCCTCTCCGACAGAATTCCCCAATAACCCTATTGGATTCCCAGCACTGGTGAAGATTTCTGGTCGGTTTTGTCCCTGTATGTCCTGGATATTAACCTCATTTCCAGATAGAATCAAGAGCTGCTCCATCTTCTCCCTCAGGACACTCCCTGCCTCCCATCTCCAGCACCTGCACCCAGGAATCTGAGCACTGGGGGTGGGGAGGCTGACTCCAGTCCCAGAGTTGAGGTTACTGGAGAGAGGATTGCCTAGTGGGTCATGCTGGGTTTCATGCCTCCCCCTCCAACAGCCCATACCCTTTGTGACATGTGAGGGAAGAGAAGGGTTTCTCATGAGGACTGAACTCACCATCTCAAATAAATACTTCAGGAAACTGATCTCTCCAAAGAGAACATTCACCTTGGACTCCAGGTCTACCTTGCTCATGTAAGCAGCATCCACATCCTGAACGGCAAGCAAAAATATTCTGACTTTATTGTCCAAGTGTTGCCTGCCACCAGCTCGCTGGGTAACTCAGGCAAGTGGGAAAACCTCTCTGGGTTTATTTCCTTGCCTGAAAATTTCCTCACCTCACTCAGGTGAGGCACCTGCAAAAACTCTGGCTTTCCTGGCCAGGAAGAAATGTGACACCAAGGCCCTCATCCCAGTCAGCCACACAAAGCACCCAGGTCCCTCCCCAGGTCTCAAGGCTGCACATAACTGACACTCAACAGGTGTCAGTTGATTGAACTTCACATTCAGGACTGTGGAGAGATGAGCACTCAAGGAAGGCTCCAGATTCATATCAACATCGCTTTCAGACTTAACCCCTTCAGTGCAGGGGCCCAGCCTTCAGGCCACACCCTCAACAAGCTGCCCCTAGCAGTCATCTGCCCACCCCTTGGTCACACAGCATCCTACAGGAGTTCTTCGCTCTGCTCAGTCCCCTGGACCCACAGTCCCCCTAGGACCTCCCCCATCCTTCACCTTCTTCAGGACGACAAAGTCATTTTCAGTGTTGGCCCTCCGGTTGATCTCTTCCTCGTATCTGTGGGAGGAGGTAAGAAACACAGATAGGCTGCTGAGGCTGACCTTGGCTCCTTGAGATTTCTCCTCACAGCAAGCGGCTTGGAATGTCCCAAATTTTTAGTGTTAGACTTTGGCTATCCCCTGCCAGCGGATAGCCATTTTTTGCAGTTGAGGACATAAATAGCCACTTTTACTAAATTGTTTTAAAAAGGAAAAGAATGTCACCTACAATGTTGCCCCCCAACACCTTCAGTGTGAATTTCATCTTTCCCTTTTTGAGTCACACACTCTTGACTCTCTGATTGGTGTGCCAGGTGATGTCAAGAGTAGCACCCTACACCCCTAGCATGGGGAGGGAGAAGCCACTCAGTTGCCTGCACAGTGCTGGAGCAGCCGATCTGGAATTAGACAAGTCCCGACCATTATGATTAATAATAGCTAGTGCTTAGTATGTGCAGGCACAGTCTAGGAACTTATTAAGCATAATGTCAAGCATAATGTCATCTAAACAAGTGGTTCTCAAAGTGTGCACCCCAGTCCACCAGCATCACGTGGAAGCATACTAGAAATGCAAACACTCTGGTCGCATTCCAGGCCTACTCAACCAGCTTGCTGCACACCAAAGCCTGAGAGCCCAGATCTGCCTGTCACAGCAACCCAACGGGGAGGGTGCTTACCATCCCCACCTTACTAAGGTAAAAACTAAAGGCTTAGAAAGACAGACTTGGCAAGCAGCTAGAAAGTGGCAAAACCCACCAGAACTTGGCTTATCTGGGTCCAGCACCCTGAAGATAGTCTGCCCTCACCCACCCAATACAATTGAGAGCTGACTGGTACCACCATCCTACCAGAGCTGCTCTATGCAGGATGGTGCCCTCTGCGGTTGTGTGGTACAGAGCCGGGTGGCTGCACCTGGGGACCCTGGTCCACCCTTCACATATTAACACGAAAGCAGAATGTCTTGCCCCTGAATCAGTTCCCTGCCGTGCTTCCCTCTGACCCCTTTACCCTGCCTGGGCTCTCACTTGTTCTTGTAGTCCTCCACGACATCCTGCATGTTCCTAACTTCTGTGTTCTGGCGCATCTGCTCAGCACTGAGAAAATCCACCTGCCTCCGCAGCTCACTGATGTAGTTCTCCAAGATGGGCTCCAGGTTATTCGTCTGAGTAGAGGTGTTGACTTGCTGTAGCAGCTCCCACTTTGTTTGTAGCACCTGATTCTGCTGCTCCAGGAATCGCACCTAGGAGCAAGAGACTTCCAAATTCACCCCAGGCTGTGGGTCCAAGAAGCATCCCCCACGGGTAGGAAGACTGGCAACCACACAGCATATCTGGACCTCAGAGAATCAAGATGGCCCCTCTTGGGATCTGAGAGCTTCCCTTTCTGTGGGACCAGGACACACAGAACACAATGTGGTTTCTGATGGTTGACCAAGGGCTGTAAGCTCAACTTGCCTAAAATTAACACTAAGTTACTAAGCTAACTCTGGTTTTGAAGGCAAACCACCTCCATTGGAGTGCCTTCTTCCCTTCAGCTACAGCCACCTACACCACAGAGCTGTCACTCCCACGCTCCACACTCTGTGCCAACGTACAGAAACGGTGCTGCAGAGCATCTGAAACACTAACATCTCCAAGGCTCATTTCTCTTTGTGGCTGAAATGTTTTCTGTGATTGAGGAGAGGAGACAATAAGAGAGAAGAAACAATCTGACTTAGAAGATTATACTGATTTCTGAAAAAAACCAGCCCGGGTGCCCCCATCCTGCAGACCCCACCACGTCCGCTGTCTGCCAGTGTGTTTCAGGAAGGTCACCTCACTTAAATGTTAACTCAGAATTTAAAAAAAAATAAATGCTCCCACTTTTTATTTTTTTAAAAGGTTTTATTTACTCATTTGACAGAGAGATAGAGAGCACGAGCAGGGGGAGGGGCAGAGGGAGTGGGGAAGCAGACTCCCCGCTGAGCTGGAAGCCCGATGTGGGACTCAATCCCAGGACCCTGAGATCATGACCTGAGCTAAAGTCAGATGCTTAACTGACCGAGCCACCCAGGCGCCCCTGTTTCCACTTTCTAAAAATGTTGTGTAATGCATGCCCATGCCCCAAAGTAAGGACTTTGGGGGTGTCTAGTGTTTGGGAAATACTCATGTTGCTATTCTCTTCATTAACTTTCATTGATGCAGAAAATGGAGAGTGGACATCCTCCTGTATTCTATCTCTTTTCCCGAAACTGGGCACAAAGTTCAGGTATAGGGTCCAGAGAGCTGACTGGCTATGCTGACCAAGTACATGGATTGTGCTCCGCATGATCATGATCAACCCTCACCTTGCCTCTGCAGGTTGCCCTCAGATGGAGCCTCCCTTCCCACGCCTTAGGTGGAGATAAGGGATGCCTCTTAGGTGCGGACACACACACACGTGCACACACACACAACACACACATGCACACACGCACACATGCACACACATGCACACTCCAGGATCCTCCTGGGAGTTGTGTATGAGCACAAACCCATCGCTTTGTGCAGTCAAAACAGAACCCTGAAGACACTCCCCTACAATGGGGCACCAAGGAGGATGCCCCAAACCCCTGGCCCTTAGGACTGCCCTTCTGAGGGGCCGGCCTTTGTTAACTCCCTTTGGATTCTGACTCTAGGCTAGGAGACGTGCACAGTGAATGCTATTCCCCATGGCTCATTTTTGTTAGCTTCATCAAAGCAAGAGCTAAGGCAAGCAGATCTCACAGGTTGTCTCAGCTTGAAACCCACCCCCCCGTGGGAAATTCCTGCCACCTGGCCTCGTTTTGCTCTAGTGGCACTGCCAGAAGGTGGACAAATCAAACAGGGTTCTCAGCCCTGTGCTCAGTATTGTGGGAACTGAAGGGAACAAATCTCATGGGCCCACAATAGAATCTCCACATCAAATAAACAATGAGGGGCAGATTAGCCAGAGCACCTTCTGCCCCTGCACACGATACCTCGGAGCACATCAGCAAAAGAACCCAGGGTTCTCGTCAGGCCACCCAAACCGCAAAGGCAGAGACTGGCTGCAGGGAGCGCCAGGCAATTTTAATAAGATTTAATCTCTAGAAAAATCACTGAAAGCCGTTGTGATTTTTCCCAGGCTCCCCAAAACACTCCTGGGCTGTGTCCCATCAGCCCCCAGATGAAACTTAGCATCATACTGAGCTCACCTTCGTGCTGGAAAAAGCACACCCCTCTTGGCTTGTCATGACCCAGGGACCTCCTGCTGCCTCCGGCAGCCCAGATCTCCCCAGCTCTTTGCTTGGCTATGCCCTATTTACCCTTTGGTCTCAACTAAAGTGACATCCCCCTGGTGTCTCGCCTTCATAGCCCACGGTCCTTTGCCCGGAGCATCTGGCATGATTTGCTGTCACTTGGTGCTGTTTGAGCATATCCCTCCCCTGCTGGGGGAGCCTCAGGAAGGCAGGCCCATGTTGTCTTTGGTCTCCTATGGGCACAAGGTACTCAGACCCATGGACACACAGCGACCCAACACAGAGAAGACAGTTCATAAGTATCATGGACTAATGAAATGCTAAGGGCTTTGGGATTGCCTCCAAGTGTAGACAGCTGTCCCTCTCAATAGACTGGAAACTCCTAGAAAGCAGGGGATTTTGTCTGTTTTGTTTGTAATTGAATCTCCCACACCCAGAATCGTCTGGAACATGATAATTACTCAATAAACATGTTGAACGACAAATCAAATCAGCCCTTCAGGTGTCAGGCCTGGACACTCAGAGAGTAGAAATGGACACAAAGGCTTTTATAGAACCAAAGACAAGGAAAAGGGACCTCAGGAAGGAAAGTGATGGGGTCCATCTCTTCCCATGGGGACACCGGCCTGGCTTTGTTCAGTTGAGGTTGAATCCTCTATGCCAGGTGGTGAGTGGCCTGGATAGTCTACACCCGGAGGCATGTGAAATATCTGGTGTGTCATATGGCCTTAGGGACAATGGAGAAAAGTAACACAGGGATGGGGGACAGAGATGCTGGTGTGAGGGTGCTATTTTGAAAAGGGAGATCAGGGAAGACCCCGCTAGGATAGTGGCATCTGAGAAAAGACCTGAAGGAGATGAGGGAGCAAGCCAGACCACTCTTGGGAAGGAGGCGTTCAAAGCAGAGGGAATGGCAGGAGCAAAGGCCCTGGGGCAGGCGTGGGGTGCTGGAGGCTGCAAGCATGCAATAGTGTCCTAGTAAGCAAGAGAGAAACAGGAGAGGAGCACGGAGGGACTGTAGGGTCACTGCAGACAATGACTTTGTACCGTGGGGAGCTAAACTCCTGCCCTCGCTCTGTTCACTAGACCGTGCTGCTTGAGAGATGTTCCACCCAGTGGTGGTAATGTTGCCTAATTCTCACAAATGCAAGCCAGGGGTGAGCAGTAGCTGCAGGGTGGAGGCCAGATCACACAGGGCCTTATAGGATCTTGGCTTTTATTCCAAATGAGACTAACAGTCAATGGGGGATTCAAAAAGAGAAGTGATGCAATGTTTTTTAAAGAATGGCTCTCGTGTGGCTCTGAGGATGGACTATATCAGCTTAAGGGTGAAAGCAGAAAGACCAGGCCAGAAACTAGAGTCAGAATCCACTGCAGTAGAAGCCTTCTCCCTTCCAGACAGGCCAGAGTCCTGGGGGCTCTTTCCTCTTGGTCATGACAAGCCTTAGGGAAGGACAGGTTGCCACAGTCTCCTGCAACTCGGCCTCTGCCCATAGCCCCATACCATAAAATGCAACAAATGTCCTATATTAATGGTGGAAACCACAGTCAAATGAGTCCCAGGAGATCAGTTACCAGTAGCCCATGGCCATTTCACTGACCTCCAGCCCTCTCTTTTCCTGTCTTCTCCCTTAGCTTAGTCTTGACTTCCAGTTGTGTCACCTCCTTACTCCAGCCAAGCTCTCCCAGTCCCTGCCCTTGCCTGAGGTATAATGACGTTCAGTCAGATTTCCCATCCAAGGTGATCAGAAGCAGCCAGAAGCGCTTTGTTCTGTTGAACTCCTGTTTGGCTATCTCTGGGCCTCAACACGCTTACCCCTCCTCCCCCAGCCCACACACCCTGTCCTTTCCCAACATCTACCCAGATATCAGAGACTGTATATACAGCCCAGTGGTTGACTTTAGCCGTGGTTAATCTGCAGTCAGACCACAGGTCAAGCTCTGGCCTCAACACTGAATTCCTATGGGACTGACGGGAAGTCACTGAGTATCCATGGGCCTTTGTGCCCCAGGGTGCTTCTCACCATATCCCCAAGAACAAAGAACATGCTGGGGAAGCCTACAGGGGCTACTGTGCCTCCACCTCTGGACAAAGAAAAATGCCGGAGGAAGGTCTTTACCACAGGCCTCTACCAGCCTCTGCTTGCTGATCTGGGTCTGGACCAGCCCTAATCTGAGGTTTAATTAGGGAACTAAGGAGAGGGGCTACAATGGCTCCATCTGGCCCATTCTTGGCCTTGGATGAACTAAAACAAGGAACACTGATAGAATCCTTAGTCTGCTATTCACTTTAGCCCTCAGTGATAACCTCAGAGCATTCACTTGGGCTATGTCATGGCTCCTTGAAGACAGGACCTGTGTTCTAGTCTCTCTGTAGTACCTGGCACTGTATCTGACATATAGTAGATGTTTAGTAAATGTTTGTGGGATGGATGGATGGATGGATGGATGGATGGATGGATGGATGGATGGATGGCTAGGATAAGTGCGTATATGGAAACTGAATAATGATGAATGAGAATGAAGTCACTACACCATGTATTTTTTCTGTGGGGTATTTTCACACTTCTTACCTGCTTTCCTGCCAAAAAGAAAAGATAAAAATAAATCCCCTCAATAAGTCAAACTGAGGCCTAATGAGATAAGCGCTTTCTTAAGGTCCCAGAACATATGCTTCTGGAAGTGATTGTTACCACCAAACTGAGATAGTACAAGGTGGTAAGAGGTGGCAGGGCACAAGGCCCTCTCAGTTATTTGATCAGGGGCCAGAGACTCACCTGCCCTTGAGGTACTCACCTTGTCAATGAAGGAGGCAAACTTGTTGTTGAGGACCATAATCTGCTCCCGCTCCTGGGTCTTGACTCTCTGAATTTCAGGATCCACCTCCAAGTGAAGTGGCTGAAGGAGGCTCTGGTTAATAGTCACCTCTTGGATGCCCCCTGGGGGACAGGAAGGACCAAAGCCCCCAAGCCCAAAATTGCCACTCCCCAAACCACCTCCTCCATAGCCACCACCCCCAAAGCCACCACCTCCAAATCCACCTCCCCCAAAACTTCTGCCCCCTCCTCCAAATCTCCCTCCTGCTCCCCCACCCTGGCAGAAACCACTGGCACTTCTCCCCACTAAGCTAATGGAGATGCTTTTACTGCCTCCCAGATTGTAGAGGCTCCTAGAACCAAACCCCCTGGCATGGCTTCCATATCCACCACCACCACCACCACCACCACCACCACACCTGCCTCGGACCTGACACACAGACCCCACAGCTCGACTCCCCCCACCAGAGCCTGCAGAAGAACCAGTGCTGTAAAACCGCCTGCTCCTGGAGCTAAATGCTGACTGAGAGCTAAATTGGCGGCTCATGGTTACTAGAACATCCAGGGAAGTAGCCAAAAGAAAAGTCCCAGCTGGAAGGAGGCAGAGACCCAGGAGGGAAAAAGCTAGGACTCCTTTAACAAGAGATCTGGCTTAGTCCCTATATATACATGCATTTGCTGGGCTGGGCACCTTCCAAATTCTGGGAGGGGAATATTTATGTTTGGTTTGCCTGCCAGCAACATCTGTTTAAAACCTCACACCTATGGGTTGCAGAAATTGTACTGTAGATAAACTTCCCCAACTTGATCATTTATCATTCATCTCTTGCTATTTAGAGATCAGAATGCAATAACCTCTCAGGACCGAGTTGCTGGAAACTCCTATATGGTTTCCCCCAAATCATTAGCTGATACCTTCCTAAGAAACTCCACCATTGAATTGTTTGTCTTGGGGTGTGACCAGGAGATCTGGGGCAAAGCTAGGGGTTGTCTAGCTGCCTTGTGATCACAGCTGGGACAGGGGTGGAGACATCTGCTGCCACAGCATTACCCTGATCAGATGGAAGCTTTGTTCTGACCTCCCCTCCCCCTGCTTCTGCTCCCTGTTGTCATTTATCACCACGATGAACATCCCAAATTTTAATCACATGAAAACGGGGTATTGTGGTCATTGAGTGCAAGTGAAAGCCAGGGGACTCTGCCCAAGACTGTTCACATTTTGCTGGGTGCATCATGTGTCGCTCTATGTGCCTCAGGCTCCTCCTCTACAAAGCAGATGAGGTCCTATAGCGCTGAAGATCTGTGGTTGCAGGTGCATTGAGCATCTACCAGGACTGAACATGGTCTTCTAGACCAAAAGACAAACTATCATGAAATCTCTTTTTTTTATTTCCAATGTATTTTAGACCAGTGCTTTTGTAAAATAAAATTTTAAAAGTTTCCCTTAAGAGGAGATTTTTTTTTTAAGATATACAATATACGGGCCCCGATTTTTATTTTTAAATTCAATAGACATAAAATTGTTCTATTGTTAAATGGGAAAAAATTAATTTTCCAAATGGTTATTCTCAAATTCTATATTTATCTCTTCTCAAAGCTGTAACAAAGTGCCCATGGAGCACTGGTGTATGGGCCCACATTCTGGAAAGCACTGCCAGCAAGCATGGAATAAAGCTCATTCATTGAGCATCAGCGTCAGCCAACAAAAATGTGTGTTTTCCCTCTGGACTCAAATGGATGGCGGCTTTCACCCAAAACTTAATAAAAACAATAATAATAAAACAACAACAACAATAATAATAATTAAATAATCTTCAATGTCCAGACTCCGAAAAGTGGCTAAATGATTGCTTGCCCATTTGGATACAATCATTTAAAATTATCTGCAAGGAGACTGAGTAGGAGCACTCTTGAAAATGCTTATGATACAACATTAAATGAAGAAAGCTAAATACACGAGGCTGTCTGAGCTATGAATTCATAAAAATTAAGAATGCACAGAAGGCAGGCTTAAAAAGTAACCCAAAAAAGTACATCAACTTATTAAGAATTGTAGAAGCGTTTTTTTTCTAATATTTTAAACGTCCTTTTCCTTTGTATTTATGCAATAAGTAAATATTTTTGCAAAAGTTGGAACTGAAACCACAGCTGCCAGCAGCTACAGAGGTGGGAAAGACGGGTGGTGGGAAAGAACAAGAGAGGTGTCGGGGAGCCGCAGTGAGGAGAAGGCACCCTAGGCTGGGAGGGGCTCCGTGGGCAGCTTCAAGCATCCACACCTCATCTGCTCAGTTAACTGCTTTAGTGGACCATCTCCAGGAGACACTGTGGGAGACAGAGAGTGAGCCTGAAATTTACAGTCACAAAAACTGGTTTCAGCTCCCAGCCCTGCTTCTACTACCCTGTGATCTTAGGCAAGTCACTTACGCCAGAGCCTCAGATATTTAAAGGAATCAGAGCAGCTATTTCTCAAAGAAACTTCTCAAAGCTGTAAGGCATGTGAAAAAGCACAAAACACTTTAATACACCAAACAAGCATCGATACAGTTAACTCTCGGAACCTAGTAAGATGGCCAAGGGTCCCACTTTGCCTGGACTTTCAGTGCATAAACCAGGATAGTCCCAGGCCAGTCAGGACAGTTGCCACCCTAGTTCTGGCATCTCAGATCTAGGTCTACACAGCCCTCGTCCTGACCCTAACCCCTTTGGGGAGCTCTTGGTAGGAGAGGGAAGCCAAGGCTCAGCTCCCAGGCTTGGGAGACATAAGAAGAAAACCAGCAGAGCCAGAGGAAGGAAAGGGAAGTGGAGGTAAGAATTAGGATGGGTCATGTAAGGAAGGTACCTGAAGGCAAGGATTCTGAGTCAGGTAGAGGCAGAGAGAAGGAGCAGAGAGAGCAGAGGGTATATGGAGAAAGGATGTTAGGTCCCAGGCAGGAAGCAGCAGTGGTGTGGGGAAAAGATCCTTGGCTTCAGCGTCAAATCCTGGCTCCACCCTTCCCGGCCCCGCGGCTTGGACAAACTCTTACCTCCTTGAACCTCACTTTCCTGGGCTATAAAAAAAGAAGAAGAATGCCAGATGCAGAGGGTGATTATGAGTAGCTGACACCAAACATGGAAGAGCACGTTGGAAATTCCAAAGAGTCATCCAAGGGGGGGTTCCTCATGCAGCCTTCCCTGAGCACCCCAGAGCATGTGAGCCCACCCCTTGCTCACCTGCTATAGTGCTCTCTTTTGCCACTCACTTTCAACCCCTGCCATGAAGAATGCACATCATTAACCCCTTCACACGTCTCTCCTGCCGACTAAATAAATGGGAAGTTCACCAAGGTTTATATTTACCCTTATGCTGAATATGGGGAACTGCTAAATTATGATAAGAGAGGAAGTCCCAGACAGAATTTAGAAAGCTTCTTGGGTCTCTGGCTGTGACCAGCTACCAGGATCTAATGTCAACACCCCGGTCTATCTCCTGTCAGCTGGATGGCCCCCAGTGGACTGCTGTCACTCCTGGGAAGGCCTGGGGTTGGGGGACCCAGCACATACTACTCCTTGAGCCTTTGCTATAGGGTGACGGCTATTCTCTACTCCCTCAAAGTAAGAGAAAACCGGGTCAAGGTGAAGCATGAGAGATTTTTACTTGTCTCGAAGGACAGACTTGACCTCAGGTCAATAGTAAATGCTGGATGAGGATTCTGGGACAAATTGCTGTCCCTAAAGGGAACCCCTCAACTGGTTGGACGACAAAGAGCAGTGCTTGCTAAACTTGCTACATGTCCGGATCCCCTGGAGAGCTTCAGCGACCGCTGGTGTCTGTGCTTCCTCTAGCTTCCCTCACCCCAGACTGGGATTTCACCGGTCTGAAGTATAGTCTGGGCTCTGGAATTTTTTAAAGGTCCCAGAGGGTTTTAACGGGCAGACAAGTTTGGGAACCACTGGCTTGAAGGAAGCAGAAGAACCAATGAAATGGCCTCTTGAGATTCTATTCAGGCCGAGGACAAAAGAATAATAATGGGCATCATAATAATAGTTAACCTCTTATGGAGTGCTTTTTCAGTGGGCCATGCACCGTGCTAGGTCTAAAACATGGAGAGTCTCAATCTAAAAATCAACATGATAAGGAAGGCATTCTTATAATTGCACTCATTTTACAAGTGGGGAAAAGGAGACTTGGAGAGATCAAGTAACTTGTTCAAGAACACGCAGATGAAAGCGCTGGTGTGGAGATTTGAACCCAAGCACTCCCACTCCAGAACCCACATGTATTGCAGAAGACGTGGTGGGGTCTCTGGTGAAAGAGGTGCCCCCTTCCTCCCCTCCACGCTCTGCCCACCTGCCACCAGCACTCTCCTTAAAGGAAAGGGGCAAGTCAGTGGAAGGCTCCAACTTGCCCTGCTGGTCTCCCAGGTACTGAAACTCAGGGCTGCCAAGAGGGTGAGGCCCAGGGCACTTATCAGCCACCGGATCACAGTCTCGGGCAGCAGTGGGAGGCAGAGTTCAAGAGGAGTTGCTGGTGTGACTGGCAGGGGCAGCCCCTGCAGATCTGCTCCTCATCTCAGCCTGCATCTCCCAGGTCTGCAAGTGGCTCTCACCGAGTGGCACACACGTGTGGCAGGGGTGTGGGGACAAAAAAAGGGAGGGTGGAAGAATTTCAGTCACCAGCCCGCCCAGGAAGGAGGGGACAGCTGCAGGCCTGGTGTAGTTATGGAGGCCTTTAACCTCTTTCAAATGGGAGTTTTTGGACCCCTGGGCAGCAGAGGAAGGCAATGACGTGACAGGGATCAGGGAGAGCAGTGTCCTGGGACTGAATCAAAGCTCCTGGCCTTGGCCTCCACACCCTGAGACCACCATTCTCCCTACAGAAGAATGTCAGACCTGGACAGGTGACAGAGACCACCAGCCCAGAGCCTTCATTTTACAAGAAGGAAATAGCTACAAAGAGTGCAAGGACTTAGTCAAGGTTACAGGGAAAGTTGGTGGTGCAGAGAACTAGAGCTTGGGTACCGTCCCTCCCGATCCAAAAAGAACATGAGCCTTTGAAGAATTCCCACAGCCTCCATGCTCCTGTAGCCTCGGGGAGATGGACATGGGGGAGCCCCACCTCCAACCTCTAACAGGTTCTGCCTGCAGGGGTCAGAACCGGGTGCTGGGCACACAAGAACACCCCCGGGGAATCCTTCTCCTGATTTCTGGGTTATGGCGGGTGTTTGTAGCAACAACTAAGGCTTCAAGCTCCTCTTCGGGTTCCAAACCAGCCAGGACCCCCCTCCTTTGATATCCTTTTGACGAGTATCCCAGGGCCCGCCTGGAAACTGTCGGGCAGCGTCTCTCTTTCTCCTAAAAACCTAACAAGTGCCCTGGGGCCACAAGCCCTCCCAAGGTCTGAGAGCAGCCCTGCACATTCTCAGGGCCAAGGTCCAGAGATAATATTGTTCTAGGCGTATTGAGCTCTCCCTTCCAACATGCTTGAAGTCATGACTATTTATACACACATTTATAAAGCTGGCAACTCTCTCTTGTCTCTGAGGCAAAAGGAGCAGCTACACAGGTGTGGGCCCAAAGGAAAACAAGGTTAGACTGGGATTGACTTCCAAGAGAAACTTCGAGGCCCTGGTAGGGGACTGGGGTTGTCTGGCAGAGGATACTTTTATATGTTGGGTCAAAGAGGAAAATGGGAGAGACTCAAGGCTACAGGGCTAGTTAGTGGTGTGGTGGGGACCAGAATCACAAATCCAATGGGGGGGGGTGGAATATGAGACCCGTGGGAAACTCCCAGATCATGTCTCACCTTGCCCATGATGGGAGAGACACAAACGCAAGGAATTAACAATTTATCACCGTTCCGTCCTTTAAAGAATAGGTGGGTTCCTGAAATGTCCATAAATAGTAATGACACTTTACTGAGCTCACAGTGTGCCAGGAGTTAAACAGATGACATCATTCAACCAGAACCACCGCATTTTATTGATGAGACTTAGCGCGGGAAGAATTGCCAAGCAACCTGCCCACAGTGACACTGCTTGCCAGCGGGAAGCCCGGATCACACCAGGGCGGCCTGCCTCCAAAGCCGGAGAGCTTCCTTCCCACTGTGCTGTATTACTTTCTGCTTTGCGAGGCAGTTTCAGGACACTTTGGAGTTTGGCTGCTGGAGCTTGAATCCTGGCTCCAGCACTTAATCTCTCTGTGCCTCAGTTTCCTCATTTGTAAAATAGAGATAATAACAGAGCTGCCCACCTCTGTGAAGACTGAATGAGTTAATTCATAGAAAAAAGCTGTTCGCAGAGGGCCAGGCAAATCACAAGAAAGCATCAGTTTTGACAAAGATTATATTGCTGCACAATATACGCAAAGTTCTATGAACCAAACTGTATTTCCATCCAGCTTCCCTTAACAAATCAGAATGGCATCATGAGCAAGAAAACATGGCCCTGTGATATTTTGTAAATCCTATGGAAGATGCGGAAAGCTTTCTTCTTTAATCATCCTACTTAAAGGAGTGGGGCAATTTCTTGTACATTTGAAACAAGCCATGAGGCTAAAGGCACCTGTCTCCAGGCCGCATTCACCGGCCAGGGCGGGGGTATGGCCAACAGTGGGTTTGCTTTTGAGAGGTGAGGCTACAGCCTCTGTGAGGACCGGCTGCAATGGGACAGTCCCCACCCTTCCCTCCCTCTATGACTGTTCTGATTGTTCCAAGTAAACTTTTCACTCTAGAGCTAGAACATTCTCTGTCAAAGCTGCAGGTGTGTGTTGTGTTTTTTTTTTTTTTTTTAGCCCAGTGAGCATCTGGCTCTCTTGCAAGTGTGTGTTTACTTAGCTAAGAGTTTCCGTGATCACCATAAAGTGTGTCTTCTCTTTCTGTTTCTCTGACATCCTTTGTCAGTCCTCTTATGCTAACGAGGACCATGATTTATAAAGAAGGCACTCATGCATGTACTCATATGTCTGTTCACCTTTTATTTTGCTTCTCTCAACCTACATGTCCCTGGTTTGAGAGGGGCTCCCTGGCCCTGCACTGAACCTGTGTTCTGTCCAAGTACCCCTGGATCCGCCTTGATGGTGTGCTATGTCTGGGGTAGGGGTAGGAGTTGACCGGTCATGAGGCTATTCTAAGTTCTTTGTCAGCTCTCATAACTCTTCATATTGAAAGGTTTCACCCCACATTATAGAAACATGAGAAAACATAGCCTCGGCATATATAATTTTTTGCTATAAAACATTTGGATTTTTATCATTGCTTTTTGAAAATATTTGCCTACCAGCAACTCATTCAATTACAATTAGCTGCAATTAATGGATAATTCCAGACCTACCTGGAATTACTGAAAAGGAAGAAAATGTAAACTACTTCTTTCAAACATAATATAATTTCTATGAATTCAAAATCTTATCAATTAAGGAAGTCGGTCTGTATCATCCATAGTATCTGGTGGCTGAAAAATCATGCCTCTCCTGCCTGAGAACTCTAGAACTTCCTACCTAGAGTCTCCCTCCAGTCTCAGGCCAGAACCTTCTGTGTGAAAGGGACTGCCATGACCCACCCGCATGGACATTAGAACCAGTGACCCTGCAATCCAGAATGAAAATTCTACCACCATGTCTGAAACACAATGCAGTTTATTGAAGATACAGAACAGAGAGTTCTTGGAGTCAAAAAGGGACAAGAACCACTCATGGGAAATCAAAGCACCAGTAGGAGGTGAGGACCAGGGGGGGCGGGGGTGGCTGGCTACAAGATGGGGAAAGCAGTGCATGCAGGGGCTGGTTGGGGCTTTCCCATAAGGCAGTGGGATGTGGGGCTACAGTGGGGGCACCTGTGGGGCAGAGGCGATGAACCGGCCTAGCTCCTGGGCCCTGCCCCTTAGCCTGACTCTGTGGGGCTAGACGGTTGCTCAACCCAATCAACCTTCCCAGCAAATTTTGGGCTACGACTCCCAGTCGTCTGGAAAGGTGGGGCTCCGGGGCACAGGTCAGAAGATGCGTTGGGAAAGGGCCCCACGGGGGTGTGGAATAGCGCGTGCAGAGCTGGGGTGTGCGGGCAGGTGAAGGGGTCTGGGGACACCTGGCGCACCCCGTTCAGAATTTGTGGTGGGACCAATGGCTCTGGGAGGAGCTTTGCGAGATGCGACCTGAGCTGTTGCTGCCACCCCCGCTGACGGCGCAGGAGCCCCCAGAACCAGAAAAGCCCCCACACACCACCGAGCCCCAGCCCGAACCCAGGCCCCCCCGCGGGCCCTAGCTCCACCTCCCAGCGCGCCGCCTCCCAGAGCACCGGCTCCCGGGGCTCCCCTGCCGCTGCTGTTGTGCACCATCTCTGCAAACAGCATTTGGGGTCAGGGAGCCTGTTGGGCGTCCTCCAGCCCCGGGGCCACCCCGACTCCCCTCCAGTCTTTCCCCAGGTCCCGCCCACTGAGACTTCTCGCAGGGTGGCAGGGCTAGCGGCCAGGAGGGGGAGGAGGGTGGCCTCTCTGGGACTCAGAGCCAGGGGGTTACCCTGGCCACCACCCAAGAGCTCTTCCCAGCCTGCAGCTAGGATGATCTCTCACCAGCGCTGGCCCGCGATTTGAGAAACATGATTCCCAGCCGTCCAACCCCTTCCCAGAGAAAGCCCTGGGTCCTCACCGATGCTCACGGAACTCTGGCACTCTCCAGACATCCTGTGAGAGCACCAGACCCCAGTGTCAATGACCTGTGCAGCTCCTCCCTTCCCCAGACGCACCTTGCCTAGGGCAACAGCAACTGATGCTGACAACAAGAAATAGGATGGTAGATGCTCGAAAAATCATGGCATGCATTCCTTTTTTCTACTGGGTCAGGTTGGACTTCAGTTCTTGCCCTTTCCACGAACACTCCACAGAGTAACGGCTGAGGAGCACTCCCTGGCCTACCCACCCTCTTCCCACTCCTCAGGATGCTCTTTATTCGGTAAATATTATGTGAATCCACATGGGCCAGGGTCATGTACCCGAGGGCCAGGCTCCAGGAACCTACTCTACAGAAACCTACAATTAAGTCCATAATAAAGAAATGGCCTAGAAATAATCTTTCTGCCTATGACCGCTGTTTGCAGACCCATGTTTTACAGCTAAAACATCAGACAAGAAGGGCGGGGAAGCCTGTCCAAGATAAGGCTCTGGGGTGTCTATTGCCTAGGAACACAGCTCTCCTGGAGGTCTGGCAGCATCTTGCAGCCCCGAAAAGGAGGAGGCTGGGCCCGCCAAGGGCTTACCACTATCTCCAGTGGAGAGCACATGCACACACACGGTACCCAGCAGCAGGCTCAGGCCACAAAGCCACCAGGCCACTGGGCCTCTTGGGAACCAGAGGGACTCTCACTAACCTGCACTCCTCGCCCTCCAGGAGGGTCCAGTAGGTCGTGATCTCGATGTCCAGGGCCAACTTGACATTCATCAGCTCCTGGTACTCACACAGCAGCCAGGCCAGGTCCTCCTTGGCCTTCTTGCAGGGCAGCCTTGAGGTCCTGAAGCTTGGCATTGGTGTCCTTGAGGGCCAGCTCCCCACGCTGCTCCGCATCAGTGATGGCCGTCTGTAGGTTGGCATTCTGGGTATGGGGTGCCAGGAGTCCAATTTAGATTCATCTACTGAGGGCCTGCACTGTGTGCTTGGTACCTGCATATGGGTCCCTTCATGTAGGGCAAATGAGGAAGCCACAGCCCACAGAGGTTAAAGCCTGGGCCTCCATCTAAGCCCTAGCACATCAAGGAGGGGCATTATCGACACCTGGCCTCAAGGATCTAGCCCAGCTCATGAGGAGTCAGACTCTTCCTTTACCTTTCTCGCCTTTCATGGTAAGAGATTGAGCATCTTCTGAAGACCTCCCTCCTCCAAGAAGTCTTCCCGAATTATCAGAGAAACTTTCTCTCTGCCCTAGTGCATCTAGATGTGGCCATCCTAGGCTACTCTCCCAATTCGGTCTTCCCACAATCAGCTTCTTTCCCCCACCTTCCCAGTCTTGCCAGTATTCGGTATTGCTGGCCCACATCGGCCACCAGACTCCACAGGGACAGGACCTTTATTCAGCACCCAGCCCAGAACTGCACCTGGTCAATCTGAGCACGCGTGAGTCTAGGGCAGGATTTCACAGGAGTAAGTGCTGAGCCCTGAGTGTTATGGTGCAAGCATAAGCCCACAGTCTCAGACACATGTTCTTCCTTCTCTTTCTACTTGCTTCTTCACGCTCTCGATCTCGGCCCGCAGCTTCTGGATCAGCCTCTTGAGCTCTGAGATCTCATCCTTGGTGTTCTTCAGGTCATCCCCGTGTCTGCCGGCTGTGGTCTGCAGCTCACCCAACTGTGTCCAGGAAAGAGTCACCCTTTCAGAAAGCCAGCAGGGTCCTTACAGATCCCCTACCTCAACCCTTCATGCCACAAGCAGGAAAACCAAAACACAGACATGTGACTCGGGCAAGGTGCTCTCTCCCCTGCATCCGGGGACCTATTTTCTAGCACGATAGCTGTGTTTGTGGAGCAGAGACTTTGCACCTGGCTCTGTGCTTTATCTCACTATACTTCACAACTACCTGAGGAGAAAGGTATGATTATCTCTGTTTTATGAATGGGAAAACTGAGACACAGATTGCTTAATTCCCATGACCAAACTCATCCAGCTATCGAGTGAAAGTGCTGAAACTTGAATGCAAACATTTCAGATGCTGGAACCATCTTCTTAACCAGCAGGCTGTCCCTCCTTGGGCAGAAAATCCAGAAGAGTCAGCAGTATATGGGCCAGCTTATGCCCCATTCAGATTTGGGATGGGGGAGGAGGACAGAACTTGTGTCTCGGGTCCCTTTGCTCAATCTCCCTCTTTCTCCCCCCACTTCTTTCCAGACACTGGCTTCAGCCCCTCAGTGTGATCGATTCAGAGCAAACAATATAAGGTCCAGATTGGTGGAGGAGAAACGGAAGTGTCTCCAGCAATAAAGGGATGCAGCCAGAGGGATTAAGAATTTCTCGACCTTGGCACTACTGACATTTTGGGCAGGATAATTTTTTTGTTGAGGGGTGGGGTCATGCATTATGGGATGTTTAGCAGCATCCCTGGCCTCCACCCACTGGACCCCACTAGCAACCCCATCCCCACCCCGGGTGTGACAACCAAAACTATCTGCAGATTTTGCCATATGTCTCCTGGGAGAAAATCCTACCTTCACCTCCTGTTGAGAAGCACCAAGTTACAGCAAAGTCAGAGCTGTCTGGTTAGGAAGGGAGAGGCAGGGACACCTGGGTGGCTCAGTAGGTTAAGCGTCTGCCTTCAGCTCAAGTCATGATCCCGGGGTCCTGAGATCAAGTCCCACATGGGGGGTGTCCTTGATCAGCAGGGAGCCTGCTTCTCCCACTGCCTGCCACTCCCCCTGCTTGTGCTCCCTATCTCTCTCTCATACACATAAATAAATAAAATCTTTTAAAAAGGGGGGGGGCACCTGGGTGGCTCAGTTGGTTGAGCGACTGCCTTCGGCTCAGGTCATGATCCTGGAGTCCCGGGATCGAGTCCCGCATCGGGCTCCCTGTTCGGCGGGGAGTCTGCTTCTCCCTCTCACCCTACCCCCTCTTGGGCCTCTCTCTCTCTCTTCTCTCTCTGTCTCAAATAAATAAAATAAAATCTTTTTTTTTAAATAAATACATAAATAAAAATTAAAAAATTAAAAAATAAAAGGAAGGGAGATGCCTGTGGGTGAGGCCAGACCAGCGGGGCAAGGAGGGAACTGCCATACTGGAGATATAGAAGAGAATGACTCCGAGGTAAGGGCTGCCCAGGTAGCTTGATGGGGGAGCCAGAGTCCCCAGAGTTACATGATGGTGTTACCACCTTGGTCTGGTACAGCACCTCGGCCTTGGCCTTGCTCTTCTGGGCGATCGCCTCGTACTGGGCGCGGCCCTCAGCGATGATGCTGTCCGGGTCCAGGCAGCAGTTTTTGTCCACGGACAGGACCAAGGACATGTCACTGGTGTCTGACTGCATCTGGGATAACTCCTGCAGAGCCAGGCAGACGTGCCGATTCCTGAGCAGATCCAACACCAGGGCTCCCCAGAAGACCGGGAGCTGCCAGTCCAGGAGGGGTCAGGTCTGACTGGGCCGGGTGGGAAGGTACCACTTTTGTCAGAAGCACACATGTGACTCAGATGCCTCCTGGTAAAGGTCTGGTGAGCGCTGCCTTCTCCGGGAGGTGGAAAGTAGGCGGGCCGGGGGCTTGCAGGTGAGGAGCAGACTTACGGGCATCGTAGAGGGCCTTCCGGAAGTTGATCTCATCCGTCACACTCTCCACCTTGGCCTCCAGTTCCACTTTGGTCATGTAGGTAGCATCGACATCCTGAGGGGCAGTTCAGTCACTGTCCCCTCCAACCTGTAGACTGGCCCAGTCCTGGGCCCTGAGGAAGGGGCCACCAGAGCCTGCCCCCCGGGGGCTTCCACTCAGGGGAAATGAGGGCCAGGCAGACATCTCCTAACAGGACTAGACCACTGTCTGGCAGGCTGGCCTGGCGAATACCTGACAGAAAGGAGCAAAAGAGGCCAAGGGCTGAGAGGTGAGCAGGGCTGGGGCCACTACATTGGGCCCCTGGTGAGGAGGGTTTGTGAGGAGGGCCTGAGGGAGAATCTGAATTTGCAACCTAGCTCCTGGGAATGTACTCCTGAAAAAAACAAAACCCTGTTTCTTCTCTTTGTCCATTTTCTAATCAAAACTCAAGGCCTATTCAGATTCATAATCATAAACCCCACGGGCCCATCAGAAGGGGCATGGCCAGGGGCGCCTGGGTGGCTCAGTCGTTAAGCGTCTGCCTTTGGCTCAGGTCATGATCCCGGGGTCCTGGGATCGAGCCCCGCATCAGGCTCCCTGCTCCGCGGGAAGCCTGCTTCTCCCTCTCCCACTCCCCCTGCTTGTGTTCCCTCTCTCGCTGTGTTTCTCTCTGTCAAATAAATAAAATCATTTAAAAAGAAGCAAAAAAAGGGGGGGGGCATGGCCAAAGTCTGGTAGGCCCTTTAGAGCCTGCCACATAGAATCTTCAGGCACTGTTCGGTGGGCTCCCTCCCTGGCCTGGGCCCTCATCCACATGGCCTACAGGAGACCCTCTGTTTAGCAGGACTAAACTCGTGCTCCCCCTCAACCTTTAAACCACTCTGCTTTTTGAGGCTTTGGGCTGGGGCTTGGAGGGGGGCGCGGATCCTTCACCTTCTTCAAAACTACGAAGTCATTCTCTGCAGCTGTACGTTTATTGATCTCCTCTTCATACCTTTGAGAAAAGAGTCCCTTTCTGATCCACCTTCTCTGGGATGTCCCCTTGGCCCCCGAGCACTCCTCATAAGTAACATGGACTCAGGGCCTCTGCCGATTTAGCTCAAGATGTTTGTCAGTGCAAAGCACAGCCTTCTGGATTCGGGTGAGAGTTTATCCAACAGATTTTACTGAGCATCTACTATGTGCCAGGTACCACTTAGTAACAATGATGGCAATTACTGGACACAGGAGTAGAAGCCTCTTCCGAGCAGGACCCTATTTTGATTAATCCCAGAAGGCTTCCTGGAGAACTTGAGATTTTTTGTTCTATGAGTTGTTATATGAGCAGAGGGAGATGACTGAGCTGCCAGGAGCTTTCAGGGGGAGGTGTGTGGTGCCAACTCTGTGCATAGCAAGTATGGTAGCCCCGTGGGCTCCCAGTAGATACTTCCTGAATTAATGAAAACCAAGAATGGGTCGCTAAGAATGTGCCAGATCCTGCTTCATGAATTATGTTTGTATTAACTCATTCAATCCTCATTACAGCAAATAGGGTCAATACTACCCCATCCCCATTTTACAGTGAGGAGACAGTAGCATATTGAAGCTGAGGCTCTTGCTCAAGATCCCAGAGCTCATAAGTGGCAGAGTGGGGCTTGACCAAGGCACAGCAAGTTGCTACTCACTGAGAGGCTTATTGACAGGGGAAATAAAATTCCTATTTGGAGGGGAACCTGAAGACTGTCTAGCCCAGGGAGGACATAGGATGTTTTCTGAGTCTGTTAGGTTCACGAATGAGCTTCAGGGTGTCTTGGAATGCCCTAAATTACATGTATGTACCCTTTCATTAAATTCTCAAAAGGATATCTTTCTCAAGCAAGCCAGGAGCCTCCCTTTTAAAGACTGGGATATCGAGAGAGGATGGGGTAAATTCCTGCAAGCTTGCAGCCAGCTGGAACAGAGCTAAGCCGGAGCCCAGGCTCCCTGCCATCCGCAGGATCCCCTTCTCCCGCTGTCCAGCCCCACCCCCCCACTGCCATACCCTGTGACTAGGGCAGGATGCACCTCTTCTTCAAGTCTTCCACAGTCTCCTCCACGCCCCTCAGCTCACCCTGCAGCTTGTCCTTCTCCAGGTGCAGCCCATCCAGGAAGGCCTTGAGGCTGCTGATGTAGTTCTCAAAAAAAGGCTCAAGGTTGTGGTTGTTGGTATTAGAACCGGAGCCCTGCTCCTCCTGCAGGAGGCTCCACTTGGTCTCCAGGACCTTGTTCTGCTGCTCCAGGAAGCGCACCTGCCGCCCAATGAGAAGAGCATCAAGGAACTGTCTGGGGCCAGCTCCTGTCATGGCAGCTCATGACTTCCCCAAACAAAGTCCCGGGGGTCTCCTCGTCTCTCCTGCAGGGCTGCATTTTGAATGCTGTGATAGTTGAGTGCTAACCCCGTGTGGACAACAGTGTTGGTGTGATGTGGGAGAGGCAGAGCCCGACTGCGCAGGTATAAGGAAACTGAAGCCCAGAGATGAAAACAGTCACACAAGTCAGTAACAAAACAGAACTGAGGTTTCCCGATACTTACGCTTAATGATCTTCCTGCTATATCATTCATTCATTCATTCACTCATTTCTTCCTCCATCATTCATTCCTCAATCATTTAGTATTCAACAAATAGCGGGAGAGTCCAACATCCTAGAGCAGACATAGACCCCAGGAGGAGGTTTGCGGTACAGGTGGGTACACTGCACGAAGGTGGGAAAGAGCAAAAGCCATAGGGAAATGGCTTTCAGGCCACCCTTGTCCCAGGAAACAGGGTCCAGATGCACCTAGAGACAGCCCTCTCTGCCAAGCCTGGTTAAATGTAGGGCTCAGCTCCATTTAAACTGCACCATTAGCTAAAGATGTCTCAAACTTTCATTTGCTGCAAAACATTTCTGCACACAAGTTCAAGGCCAACTGCATAAACACGTGCAATAAATATCAATCAACCGGCCATTCAACAAATATTTGCCAAGCACCAAGCTCGTGCCAGGCCCTATGCTGGACACTCAGGGCTCCAAGACCTGGGAATCCGCCTCGAAGGGTGATGAGAGCTGCTCCTGGGCCCCGCACTGGGAGACCAGCATGTCACATCACTTTCCACCTTTCTGTGAATACTCTATCGGGACACCGGGTATCTGCTGGGAACAAGCAGGTCACTTGACTTTGAAGAGTTTCACCTCTACAAAGGTCTGATATTTCAATGTTAAGACACTTTTCCTCCTTTGGCTTTGCCCAGAACACTGATGTAGGGTGAGGGGACCCCAAAGAGTCCCTATGAATCCTCTCTTTAAGGCCTAATATTGTCCCAGGATCACATCATACTCAACAGTATGGTTGAAACACTCAGCAGCCACCAAAAACCTAAATACCCTCTGGTGACCACAACAATTATCATAGTGTATACAAATATCAAGTGGCCTCAACATTCACAGCTCCTCACCCTGAAGTCTTCCTGTGAGAACCACCGGGGAGGAGGTACCCCTCACCCCTACCCATCCCACCACCAAAAACCTCTCTGCATCCCTCTTCATAGGCTGATGGCAGATGAACTCCTCTCTCAGACAAATCGAGCTTCGGCAGAGTCAGCCTCTCTTTCAAAGGGAAACAGCTCACAACTCCCCTGGCACAGAGAGGGAATTCTGTGCTTGGGTTTCAGAGAGCAACAGTGAGGGGACATCCATGATGGCAACAAACAATCCCCACAGTGCCTCCGACAAACCGCAGTGATGGGGCATGTGACGAGTGCAGTAACTCCATCCAATATTTCCATTATCTGCTGTTACACCACTTGCTGACATGCCACAGAGGACGTGAGGTGTAGGTTGAACCCACAAGTTCTTCCTCAGATTCACAATGAGAAGAAGAAAAAGAGACCATCCCAGTTAAGCCAGGTTTCCTCACTGTCCAGCTGTCCCAAGATGGGCTCACCTTATCGATGAAGGAGGCAAACTTGTTGTTGAGGGTCTTGATCTGCTCCCACTCCTGGGTCTTTACTTGCCCAATCTGGGGGTCGACCCAAAGCCACCAGGGCCACCAAAGCCACCAGCTCCTCCACCAAAACCCCCAGCCCTTCCACCAAAGCCCCCACTCATCCCTCTTCCACCACCTCCAAAACCGCTGCCTCTGTGGGCCCCCCCAAACTCTCCAGCCTGGGAGGTGCCTCCGGCCACGCTGGTGGAGCTCTTCTTGTTGCCCCCAAGGTCGTAGAGACTCCTGCTGCCAAAACCTCCTCCCATGATGGCACAGGCAGCAGACCCACCACCGCCCCTGCCTGAGTGGGATGTTGAGGAGGACCTGTTGAGGATGTTGAGGAGGTGGAGCTGACCCAGCTCTGGCCCGACACCACAGCTGAGTGGCCACTGAAGCCCCGGTGGCGGCCCCCTCTGGAAGATCTGCAAGATTGCTTAGAGCAGTTCCAAAACCCTTCAAACACACAAAGTCACAAAGACCCTCAAGGAAGGCAGGCTAAGAAAGTTTGGGCAAGTAGAGGTTCCGCCTGATCCAGCTCTCCCTCCCTCAGAACTCAGAGTCCTCAGACCACCAGACTTTCTACCTACAGAGAGAGAAGCAAAACACAACATGAATAGCATGCATTCCCACTAACACACACACATACAGACATACATACACACAAAACCACACGCTGTCATCACAGTGTCCTGCCCCGTGTGTGCTCTCTCTTTCCCTTTATGTCAGAGATGGGAACTGCCCTCCTCGCCGCCTTCAAACCCTAGGTGCCCGCCCCGTTCCTCCAAGGCCCTGATTCTTGCTCAAAGCATCTGGCTAATCTGAGAAACCAAGACACGGCAACTGGGTCTGAATAGGGGCCCAGACTGAGAGCTCACAACGCAGGTGCTGTCTTGATGCAACCACCACCTGAGTCTTCTCCTTGTACGCAGCTTCCTCCTCTGCACAACTGGGGCTTCCGACTCGAGCAGGGGGCTCATGTCAGACCTACCTGGGGTTCAAAGGAGGTATGGGCATGGGAGAAAGGGGCCCCAGTGTCCTAGCCTCATTGCCTCCACCGCCTCAGCCTGCTGACATCTGTGATGCTGAGGACAGAGTCAGCCTGGGGAAAGCAGACGGAGGGTGGGTTGATGACCAGGGGTTGTGGGGAGGGGACATTATAACAATGCATAAAGTCACTGTCTTTGCAGGCCTGTGAGGCTGGTCCTGACTCCCAAATGGTGTTTTTCCAATGTGGCCCATTCCTTCCTCAAAAGAGACCCAGGAGCAAATGAGGAAATGTCACACACTGTCTTCCTGCCCCTGCTTACCATTTTCTCCAATCCTTGCCGTTAAGGGAAACACGGCAGAACAATTCAGTGATTTCCACCCCTTGATGGTTGCCAATGACCTGGACCAGTTGGAAAATGCTGAGAAGTCAGTTTGCATTTTAAACATCAAGAACAAATCCCAAAGAAATTAGGGTGGAAGTTTGAGGCTCTAATGAGGGCCCATCCCAAATCCCTTCTTCCTGGCAAAGCCCATGGCTAATCCCCCACACCTGCAGACTATAAAGCCCAGCCGCTCTTCTCGGCTGCCTCCGAGGGAGAGGAACAGAGCGTGCTGCTAACAAAATTAGCCCAGTTGGGCCTTTCCAGATGGGAGGGCACAGGGTCTTCCAGAGAGACACAGGGCCCTGCAGCCCCTCCTCTCCATGGCCATGGCTATGCCTCCCAGGCTGGTACCATGACCAAGGCCCCCTCTGCTCTGGGGAAGCTGGGCCAGCCTTGGGGGAATTAGGGAAGCAGAGGAGAAATTGCTCCTGACTGCAGGGAGCCCCGGCTTCTCTGGGGAAACAGGGCAGTCAGATGCAGGCGCTCAGGGTTAAGGAGAAGCTTAGTAACACATCTGATGGCAGCTGATGGCAGATGACATGGGCCGGGGACAGCAGGGGGTAAGTGGGGCTGGGAAGGAGTTGAAGAGGGAGAAGCATGCAGGTCTGTGTCAGGATGGGGGGCACTGGGTCGGGGGGTGAGGAACTGAGCTCTGGTGTCCTGTGGTCTGCGATCAGAGAGAACACAGCTCCATAAGGAACTGTTGTCCCATACCAGGTGAGCTCTGATCCAAGTCTCACTGAGGGACCAGCCTCACTGCATCTAGAACTCAGCAGCTGCTGAGTAAGCTGTCCTCACCCTGAGGGACAGGGCCCCTGATGGGTGGGTGGCCTCCTCAAAGTGCCCAGACCCTGCCACCCCAGGAGACCATCAGAGCTGTGCCATGGAAAGCAGCCTGCGGACGCTTGGGTGGCTCAGTCGGTTAAGCGTCTGCCTTCGGCTCAGGTCATGATCCCAGGGTCCCAGGATCAAGCCCCACATGGGGCTCCCTGCTCAGCAAGGAGTCTGCTTCTCCCTCTCCTCCCCACTCATGCTCTCTCTCGCTATCTCTGTCTCTCTCTCAAATAAATAAATAAAATCTTTTTTAAAAAAGCAGCCTGGACAGAAACAGGAAGTCCTGCTCCTAGGTTCCAGATCCCTCTGGGCCGCCATGTAGCCAATCAGAATGGAGCTGAGAAATTCCTGCTCTGCCCATGGAGCAGAGCAGCTGTGAGTTGGGTGTTTAGGGCAGTGCAATAAAGGGCTTTATAAACAAAAGGACAGATGTGCTGTGTTAACCGAGGGACGGTAAGAGTGGCAGAAAAGCAAGCGGTGGGGTGCTGGCCGAGTGCCGGGCTCAGTGATTGACATTTACAGACCTCTTCCCTTCCACCCGCCCCGCAACCCTATAGGGAAGGGCACGGAGCTCCATTTCACAGAAGAGAAGAACTGGGACTCAGAAGTTAAATCGCTTGTCCAAGGGCCCACAGACAGGAAGTGGCCTCTGCTCCAGTTCTGTCCCAATCTGGAGGCCATGTTTGGGGAAGAGCCATGCAAGACTCAAGCCTCGGGAAAAGGCTCCCTGTGTGGGCCCCCCAGGGAACTCTGTGTTCCCACCCAGAGCTCAGCTCATGGAATAAGCCCTGACTCTGAACAATGGACTCAGATTTGATCAAGTTTGGGAAACGGTGGATGAAAACAGAGTACAGAACAGGGAGAAAAGGCACAAACAGGACCCTACTCTTGTCTAACCATGGTCCCCAGCAAGGGCACTTTGGGTTAGTTCCCCAGCAGAGGGGACAGTTTCTGCTGTCCCATCTCACTTTTTCCTAGTCAGGCTCACAGTCCCAATTTTGCAAGCCAATGGGCCACGGGCCAGAGCCATGCGCTACCCTGACACTGAGCGGTTCACAGCCAGTAGCCCAGCCTCTAAACGAAGCCCTAGGGTGAGGCTCTTCTGCCCTCCCCTTCACCGGCTCCCCAGCCACCCCTTCCTGAGCACCTTTCTGGGCTGGGCACTGTGCTGACCTCTTCTGACTGGTTCCTCCTCTGTCCTAGGGACCATGAAGGGTCCTCTGACTTAAAACCCACTTCCCCTTTTCTTTACACCTAAACTGACCCATAATTTAGGAATGAGCAAGCAGCCCAGCCCCACATCGATGTCTTGTATGATTAGCCTGGACCCTTGAGCTCTCCTAACAGTTCCGGGGACACTGTTGTCCCTACCAGGCCCAATGTCAAATGAGAATGTCTTTCCTCCCCATGGAGGGCAGGCCCCATACCTGGGACAGTCCCCGTACCCTCAGCGGCCGGCCAGCTTTGTACAACTTGAGAAGTTCTTGTTTCCAAAAAATGCCAAGCCACAGCCTCATAAGTATAAGTGCCAACACTTAATAGCATCTGACATTTATAGAATATCTTCAACTTTTTAAAATCCTTTCATTTATCTGAACTGACAGGCATATGGGCAAACATGCCACACACAGACACACACCCTCTCGTGACTCACACTCACAGACTCAAACAACCTGTAACCCTGAATGAAAACAACAAGAGCATTAAGCGTGAACTAGGATTGAAGACTGATACAGTCAGAAGGCAAATGCTGTCCCAGCCTACCCTTTGACTCTGCTTTCTCCCAAGAGACTTGGAAACCAAAGCTGGGAGTGAGGATCAGGCACAATGCTCAGAGAAACCAGGCAGGAGTATTCAGCCCTCGTTTCCCCTAGGACTTCTTCCCCTCCAAGAGATACATCAAGGACCACCATCCTTTCAGTCATCTCTCCAAACATCCACTCATTCACTCAGCAATCATTTGTTAAGCACCTACTTGTATCAGGCCCCAGGCTACCCAATGGGAACATGATGCTGCACAAGACAGGGCCCATGATCTGGAGAAGCTCACAGCTGTATTGAAGGAGTCAGTCATATAAACAATTCCTTATATCACATCGGGGTCAGCGTTTTTGACAGCAGTACTATGCGCATAAGGGGAAGAAAGGCTATGGAAGGCCATACAGAGGAGGTAATTTTGAATGGGGTATTGAGGGATGAGTAGGAGTGGGCCCAGTGGATGGACAATAAGAGAAAGACATCCCTGCTAGAGAGGAAAACATTTCATATGCAGGTGAGGGGGAGTGTTGGTGAGAGATCACACATGCTTGCAGAATAGGGAGCATCAAAGAGGAGGACAAGTGATGCAGAAGGAACTAAAGTTGTAGGCTGAAACTGATTATGATGGTCTCTCTGTGCCATGCTGCAGAATCAAGACTTCACCCTATCGGTAGTGGCCCTCAGTGCTGACTGCTCATCAGGGCTTCTGGGCAGCTTTTAAGAATCCAGGTCCTCAAGCCTCACTCCTGACCTCCTGAATCAGAATCTTAGAGAATGTGGCCCAGGCACCGGTATTTTTTTAAAGCTCCAGTTTGCTTTAATTCTCATGTACTAATTCCTATAACATAAGCAGCCATATTAAAGGAGGAAAACTTCCACATCTTTATGAAAGGCTGGGGAAGCAATAAGAGAGAGCCACCTGTCCTGTCCTCGGACTAGATAGAGATTTCTATCTAGTCCAAGAGGCCAGGCAGAGCAGCCAGCCTTTAGATGCAAGTGCACAAGCTGAAGAGTGTGAGGCACTACCAGAGTGCTGGAAAGGGGGCAGGGAGCTTCGAAACACATCGCCAAGAAAAGGCCAGAAAAGGCAAACCACAGCCTGGGGCATACGATCTCAAAAACATCACGATGAGGGAAAGAAGCCAGACACAGAAAGAATGTATTCTGTATGATTTCATTTATGTGAAATTCTAGAAGAGGCAAAACTAACCCATAGTGACAGGAAGCAAGCCTCAGCCTGGGCCTGAGGGCTGGCAGGTGATTGACAGCAAAGGGGCGTGGGAGAAAATTTTGGAAGATGTCTTATATTTTAATTGTGGTTGTACTTACATGGGGACATACTTTTGTAAAACTCATTGAAATGTACTCTGAAAGGGACGCCTCTGTGACTCAGTCGGTTAAGCGTCTGCCTTCGGCTCAGGTCATGATCCAAGGGTCCTGGGATCGAGTCCCGCATTGGGCTCCCTGCTCCAAGGGGAGCCTGCCTCTCCCTCTGCCTCTGCATCTCTCTCTCTGACTCTCATGAATGGATAAATAAAATCTTTAAAAAAAAAAAAAGAAATGTACTCTGAAAATGACTGCATTGTTATTTTATGCAAATTATCCCTCAATAAAGTTGATTTATAAAGGGGACAAGAAGAGGGGAAGGAAAGACTGAACACTCATGTTGAAGAGAACATGAGCTCTGAGGTGTCCTTTGCAACAGCTACCCCAAGGACCTTTACTGCAATTCTTTGTCATCATATATACCAGACTATAAGTCCCTTAAGGGGATAGCCATATTATATTCATCTCTGTGGCCAGCAACCTCATGGTACATGGACCGAATTGGCGCTTGATGAAATTTAAATAAATAGATGAATAGAATGGAAGTAGGCAAACTCACCCAGGAAGACCACGTAGCATGAAAAGAACAGTAGATCAAAGAGGGAACCCAGGGAAACATCTATGCTTAAATATTTTTCATTTTACTTTTAATTGTAAAATATTTCAATCATACAGAAAACAATATAGCAAACATCTGTGT